CATGTAGCTCTCCTTGCTAAAGTTAAGGATGATGATATTTTTAACCTCAAGTTTCTACAAAGGAGAAAACAGGAGGAAAATATAATCCCTCCAGTTTTAGAGGATTACCAAACCATTTAACTTTCCTTGGCATTTCCCTTTCATGCATGAAAACAAAATTGAGTCAGACAACTTTTGGAATTTTCTGTCTTTTACAACAGCAAACTCAAATAGTTTCCAACGGCTGAACAGGAAAGTAAAAGATAGAAGTGTTATAAAGTGCTGTTGTATAAATAGATTTGTTTTAGATAATAGTAAATTGTATTCTTGAGTAACCTTCAGAATGGATTAACCAGGCAGTAAGGAAAACAAACTTCTCCTTCAGGGGCAAAACATCTATTTGTTAACTGTACAAGAGACAAGAGCCAAAGAAAACACGTCGGTTTAAACAATGCAAACAAGCACAGAGAAAGGCTTGGCTGCTGCTCCATACACAGAAGGCTTTAGAGATGCGGTGCACTCACATCTTGCTCCTCTGCCAGTTTTAACCACTGCATACAGGACACAAAGTTTTTTTTTCATCTTAGGTGAGACAAACCCTCAGCAAGCATCCTGAATTGGAGAAAATCATCATATCCCCAAGAGCTCGCACAAGAGGCAGTGATGTAACTGCACAAAAAAACAAGACAAAACACTCTTTGCATCTTGCCAAGGTTTGCATTGTGCCAGCATGACTTCCCAGCAGTGCCAGGAACATCTTGATGCAATCCCCAGAACGTGACTTCTTGTAACTACTGCCTAATTCTCCCCCTCAGCAATCAGAAAGGGAGCAGGACTGTGGCTGCCAAACAACGAAAAAGCAGTTTCTCCAGGTCTTGAAGGACATGTATATGACAGATTCATAATGTCTGACTGAAAGGAAGACTTGAAATAGAAACTAGGTTAAATAAAATTTCCAAATACTTGAATGCCAAGCACCTAAAACCTGGATTTTTAGATTACAGAGAAGAAAAAAGAAAATATAGAACTAACTGTTCTAAAACTTATTTGAGAGATAATGTTTTCTGCAATGCTAGTGGACTGACATGCTGGTCTATAAGAAACAAAGATTAAATCAGTAAGTTGCTATTACACACAAGTTCTCATTATTTTTAAAACTATTTTCATATTTGGAGAACCATAATTCAAATCTCTTACAAAAATTAACTATGAATGAAGAAAATAAAAATCAGCTGTCTTCAGCACCACTGCAGACATCTTTTTTCTTTGCTTTCAAAAAGATGCAAACTCCACAATGACATGGAAAGGCAAGCTCAAGTTTCCACCTTTCTCACCATGGAGGTGTCACTCAGAACAGCACTTTGCAGTACTGTGTAAAGCAGAGCAAAACATTGCTTGCTTGTTTGTCTCACAGTGGCCTGGTAAATCAGTGCCATCCAGCAGGACACACTGGGACATGCAAGCTGTGTGCCCCACATGTCCAAATTACAGCCCAAGACTGCAGCCTCCCTGGGATGCCCTTCGCTCCCCTGTTCTAGAGCCACTTGTAGCTTTCTTCTGTCAACCAGGATTTGCAGCTTCCACTCCACAGACAGAACATGCTTTGTTTTCAGTAAATACAACAAACAGATGAATACAACTGAAAACTCATGAGTCATATCTGTGTCACACTTGAATAAGGCAGAATCTGCCCTAGCAATCTTCTCAAGGCATTAAGATCAGCGTTGTGCAGCAGCTACTGCGGGGACTCCTTACACTGACAGCTTTTGAGGGGCACAAGGTTTACTTCTGATTCAGCCCTGGTGGTCCAGCAACACATCTCTCCACTAAACACACAGCTTGAGACTTCCTTAAGTGAGCAGAAGCCAAGAAAAAGCAAGAGAAACACAAACTACTGCTTTGACCTTGACTCCTGTCTTGGCTTATCATTGTTACTCTCAAACTGAAAGTCACAGGGCTTAAGATCTAAACAAATCAAATACAAACTTTTATTGCCCTAGTTCTGACCTGTCATATCTTGGGCAACCTTAATAAACAACCAAAATCTGCTACGTACATCATTCAAGAACTAGTTAAAATAAAAATAGAACCATGTAAAGCTTGCAGCCTTTTTTTTTTTTTTAACCTAAAAAGCTTTTGTCTGTCCTATAGCAATTAGCACATGGAATTAAAACTTTGGGGTATAAACTATAATGTAGAAATAGACCTTTTGTCTACTTATTCCAATTAAAAAAAAAAGAAAAAGATATTTTCTTAGTATGAAATATGTTCTTGCCACTGGGGGAGGAAAACCAAACAAAAAGCCACATTAACAAAGCAAAACACACAAAGAAGATCCCACTGACTGTGCCCCCAGGGAGGAGGGGGCAAATAGAGCACCCCAGTGCTTCAGGGACACGGAGCTCAATAAAAGGCACCCACTATGCTTGGGAAAGTCCAAAATTCAACGCCCAGTGTTCTGCAAAATGGAAGCATAATGGGATAAATCTGCAGGGGGTAGATTTAAATGATCACTCACCATGTTTTTAAAAAAGCTCCAGCATTCAGAAATACCAACATATTCCAAAAAACAACTATGGGAACTTAAGACCAAGTAGAATACTAATACTTGGCACTCCTGAAAGAGATTTCAGAAGTTGAGTTTAAATAAAACAATTTAAACCCCATTTTTATTTCAAGGAAGCTAACGCCGTTTCTCTCAGTGGACTTCCAGAATACAATTAACACATGACAGCAAAACCTAAATCCACTGCTACTTTCAGAGGAGTGTTTCTGATAGAATGAGTTCTTTCCATTATTTTCTTTACCCTAGGAAATCTCCTTATCATATATCCCAAAGCAACTTAACAGCTTATTCCATTTGGATATTAACTTCCAAAAGGAGAAGGATCAGCATCCCACCTTGTGTAATTAATTTTAGATTTAACCACAATCACACAGGATAGGGTTGTGGTGGAGGTGAATTATATTTCAGGTACACAGAGACGGATGGATGTCTTGCATACCTCAAACCCTACCTTGCCAAAACAACTCAACCAATAAACTAGAAGTGTAACTTACGTCTTGATTGGAATACAGACAACTTATTTAGTTATTATTCTTCCCACCAACCAAAGAGCTTTGCATTTCAGGCAAAGGTTGTAAGGATTTAAAATTTAAGAATATGAAAGCGTATTGTGTGCAG